ATATAGCATATACTATATATTCATTAGGGTACCATAGAAAAATTCAATTCTTTCCTTAAATTTTACTACTTTTTACTTGTGACACTAGTGACACTAATCAAGAAAGAAATAAAGAAGCCTAATAATCTCAAGAAAGATAGCAAACCCGTCACAGGTTCTGTCACAGGTTAGTTTTTTTTCCTGTGACACCTGTGACAGCAAAAAACTTAACAAGGTACTATCTTTAATGATTTTTTATAGAACAAGATGCGATATATTTTATTATTAAAGATACATAAAAAATAATTATCCTGAAGTGTATACAATAATGGATTTTGAAAATTATTCTTTGAGACGGCAAAACACTAATTTACAATATGAACTCACGCTGACTCGCAAGATTTTAAATATGCAATTGGAGATCGATTCATTAAGAGAAGAAGTTAATGAACTTAGAGACGAGAATACTAGGCTTAAAAATGCAATTAACTATCAGGAAACTGGAAAACAAAATAAGATAGTAAGCTCTAGCGAAATGCCTTATTCTAATGCCAAACGATTCATAATAGATTATGTTTCATTATGGTCTGAAGACGTTCTTTGCAAACAAATATGTTGCGCTACTTTATATCAGGATTATCTTACTTGGTGTAATAAAAATGATAAGCAAGCATTAAGTAGCAATGCTCTTGGTAAAAAATTTTCACAAATGAATATCAACCGTAAACAGGTACGAGTAAGTAATAGTAATAGAGAATGGCAATATATTCTAGACCGATCTAAAATTATAAGTAAGATACATGACTTGACGCTTAATGGGGATTATACAGAATAGTTCTGTCTTTAATTTCAATCACGAATTTACTGGCGTCACTTGACATGATATTTTTTTACCATAATGCTGATTCATAGTTTTAAGTAATCATGATACCCCGCTGATTTATTTTTTATAAATTCATTATCACATATGATGACATATGGTATCTCCGATTCCGAAATTTTCGAAGCACTCCAATCGTTAACACTGTTACAGAGTTCTTAATCCAGTGCTCCAATTTGTGATCATTTATAAAACGAATGTATCGGAGAGAAAAACGTTTTCATGTTTATTCCGAAGAAAATGCTTTCTATGGTAGTAAATCAAAAATTATTGATGGGAACGCAATCTATCAGGAATGCGGTATAGCCAATTGTTTCTCATGTGATCAATCCCGAATTTACTGCGCCACCCGACGCGATATTTTTTTTTATCATATTTCGACATTCTGGCGGGCAACCAATAGGCGCAAAGGGTAAGTACAACAATATAGAACCGAGAACCAAATCAGGCACAGAAGGCCAGCATCTCGACATACAACCAGGTATCCAAACAGTTACGGAAAGCCAACGACCTCCAAAATAGAATTTGACATCCATTCAGGTGTAGGAGGTCAATACCAATCAGATAGCTACAAGGCAATAAAAAAGCCACAAAGCAATGAAATCAAGCGGATAGCTACAAGGCATCAAAAGGGGCATAGACACGTAAAAACAAGTAAGTAGACATCAATATCTATAAGTAGGCATCAATATCTATAAGTAGGTATCACTATCTATAAGTAGGCATCAATATCTATAAGTAGGTATCACTATCGCGTAAGTAGATAGATTAAGTAGACATCACTATATATATAGTGATATCTACTTAATCTATCTACTTCATAAATCATATGATTTAGTATATAACTTTAACTAATTAAATTATTACATTTTTTTATATAAATCAAATTTCAATTTTATTTAATTCATTTAAAATATTATCAGAAATATGCCTATGAGATTTATATTTTTTTATAGTATATTTTGACAATTTTCTTTTAATTTCTTATAATAAATATCCATATAATATTATGCTTTTCTTACAAATTTTCTAATTGTAATTGATTGATAAAATTTAAATCTAAAGGAACTGTTTTTTGTAAATTTACTCAGAAATAATCATAATTTTTATGTATAAATTTTTTTACAACTTCTTAATACATTTTAATAAAATTTAATTCATAGTAGAATTTTGAATAAATAATATATTTATGATCAATTATTAAAGTAATATATCCTTTTAAGTTATAAAATCTAACTCTAAAGATATAATTTTTCTTATATAACAATTTATTTGATTTGGATTTTATTTTTTATTTTATATAATTGACAATTAGTTTTTTAAACTATTTTTTTATTTTCTTCTTTCTAAAAGTATTTGCTTTATTCCTTTTATATAATTTTTTATTAAAATAATCATTCAAAAAATACATATTGTTATCTTACAATATTAATAACTAAAAAATTAATATTAACGCAAGATTAACAAGGGATTTAACTTTAATAAATATTTTAGAGAGAGCTCTTAAAGGTTTACAAATAATTATTACTTTGAATGGTAATGTATATTAGAATAAACTTTAAGAATTTTATTATAGGATCAAGAATTCAATACAATTATATTTGTTAGCATATAATTGTTATTAGTATTTATTTTATTAGTGATAAAAACTAATTGAATTCCAATTATTTACAAATTATTATCTATTATTATCTGCCTTAATCAAGTCCTAAAACCATCTTATTTATACTAAATTTACTAATATAAATAAATAAAATACAAATAATAAATGATTAATAATGCAAAATAATTAATAATATAACAGAATTTTTCGGCGATTTCTAGGTCTTTGCGTAATTTTAATTTAATTCATTTTTCTTCATCATTTTTATCGTCTAATGTGATACAATCAATATGATTTCTCATCACATGTATCACGTGATTTTTTGAATCAATATCTTCCTATTACAATATCTTGATGATTATTATTTTTCCAAGTTATACTTCTCATTGCTAGTTATTTTTCACTTAAAAAAATTCATTTTATTTACTATAAAAGCATCAGGTAAAAATGCAACATGATTTAAACTATTATCAAATGCAAATATAGTAATATAATTAGAAAACAAAGTTTTAAAATTAGAATTGCTTTTATTTTTATTTATTTTAATAAATAATTTATTGTCTAATAATTTTCTTAATTTTTTCTGAAAATTAAACAAATATATGCTTCTTTTAGAATATTAGGATAATTTTAATTATTTATGCATTTAATTTAAACTATTCTATTAAAAATTCTCTTATTATAATTAATTGTATATTTCCTTTTTTTGCAATGATAATTCACTTGTTTTTGCCTATATATCACATTTTTTATTATTTGAATAAAAATGCATTTATTATATGTATTAAAATATATTCTTTTTATTATTTTAAGATTTAGTGAAATCTTTTCTATTGTTTTTTCATCATAAGTTATTATATATAATTCATATTTAGCAATTTCTTCTAAAAATATTTTTCTATATTTTACTATGTTATCTCTTTTATATCTATTAAAATATACTTCTTATTTTTATTATTAATAGAAAAAATCTAATATATTTAACTATCTTCTTGTTGTAGAATCAGAAATAGTTTTTTATTTAGTAATTCTAATTTTCAGTAAAAAAATTTATTTAATAAACTTTTTAAATTTTGTTAGTATTATATATTCTTATTGACTTTAAATTTAAATTTGATATTTTCTGCTACATCTTTATTATTATTCAATTAGATGATTTTTTGGTATTTAGTAGAAGCTAAATATTTTGAAGCCAATATTTTGCCTAAATTCTAATACATTATGCTTTATATAAATAACAATCTATAAAAACTAATTCTATAGCCTCTATATTAGCTTTTATTAATATATTTCTATTTTTTTAACTTGTTTTAACATTTTAAATATTGCCCTTTTTTTATTTTATTCAATAACTGATATTTTATGTTGATTGTTCTTATTTTTTCTTTTAAATTTTCAATTTTAACTTTGATTTCTTTAAAATTCCATTCATATATATTATCATTTTCAATATTATTATCTATATCATTTTTAATAATTTTTTATAAAAAAATTAGTTAATTTTGATGTATCTTTCATCACTTTAATTTTTTTTTTCACTAAGTTTATAATTATCATAAAATGTAGATTTTTTAGTTAATCCTGTTAAATATGATCTAGATGTTTTTTTTAAATAAGCATTTTTTTCTACAATGGGTGATCAAAAATATCTGTCATTTTAAAAGTCATATAACTGATCAGCAAATATCAGCTTTAATAAAAAATTTTTCTTATTAATTAATTTAACTTTGATACTTTAAGTAAAGTTATATACCATAATGAATAATATTTATTCCAAAATTTTTATATAGATCTGATTTATATTTAGTTAAATATTTTAGAACTTATCTAAAAATTTAGTAATTTTAATGCAAACATTAATTAATAAGAAAAAATTTTTTATTAAAGCTAATATTTGCTAATCAATCATATGACTTTTAAGGTAATAGATATTTTTGATTATTTACTATATATAAGTTTTAAATCTAAAAGTTTTTTATGATTAATTTTGACTAACTCTAAATCTATATCTTCTTCCTATTCACTATTTTCATTATTATTCTAATTATCAGCTTCTAAATTTTCAATATCTTCAGTTTTTTTTCAAAATTTATCTCATTTTGATTTTTAGCAATAAAAGTACCATTAATATTATAAGTTTTTGTTAAAGCAATATAGCATTTTTTGGATGAATATATTTTTTTTTAAAAAAAAGTTTAAGAATATTTGCAATTTTCATTATAGGTTCAAAATATTATTAAATATTATTTAATATTGTAGAAAATAAAAAAAATGTGAGTAAAATACATACTTGATAAATTTTTTAAGTAAAGTTTAATTTAATCTAAACTAAAAATACATGAATACATATAAAATTGTATAAAACTTTAACTAGTAATATGAAAAGAAAACTTAGGTAAGTTAAACTTTTTATTAAAAAATTTTTTTTCTTTTTAATTTAACAAATAAAACTTATTAAAAATATTAAAAAATGTTACTAAAAGTAAGAAAATTTAATATAATAAAGTTAAAAAATTAAATTCTTTCATGATACTATGAATGGATAAACATGACATAGCTTATATGATGCAGAAGAATAATCAATTTATATAGATAACATATCAGACATAATCGACATAAATGACATATTAGACATAATAGATATATGTGACATAACTGACATATTAGATATGTCAGAGATATATGATATAATTGGTATATTAGACATAGCTGACATATTAAATATATTAATTATATCTTTCTATATAATATATTTTATATAAATAGGTAACTGTTAGTTCATGTAGAAAGGGTGGGAGAAGATAGCTTAAGTAGTTTTAGCAATGAGTGAGGTATTGTTAGCCAATATAGGTAACCAATCTTAAAGGCCTATTGACATAGATAACTAATCTAGAGATAGTATAATTTAGAGACAACTAGGCCCAGTAATGTACATTTTGATGTCTCAGAGATTTGTTATCCCAGCTATATGTTCTAACTTGTCTCACACTATATTCCATCTGTCCTATCTATATTCCATCAGTATCTCATCAATGTCTCATGACAACACTGACTAGGCCTATCATGTTATATTATAGTTTAGAGGCAACTAAGCTTATCACATTACATTATAATTTAGAGGCAACTGGCTTATTACGTTACATTCTAGTTTTAGTATTTCGTTTCTTTTCTTTTCTTTTATTTTATTATTTTACTTGTGAATAAATATATTATTTTACAAATATAATCACTGGTAATCTGTTGAATTACTGCTCATCGTAATAATATAAACCCTTTTGATAATCAGTCTAAAATAAAACTCATAAATTGTTGAAAGATTACTTCTCAATTAAAAAGAATAAACTGCTTGAATACTCTGTCTAACAGTTATAGTTCGTAAGAATTACACATTAATAATATGATAGAGTGAAGATAATGTATGATTTTTTTTACAATATTGAATTAGAAGTGATTGATTTAATTTTGATCAGAATTATAAAATTTTGGTTAATTCTGATAAAATTGAAGCTTTGAATATCTGAATTTAATAATAATATAACTTATTTTCAAACCTTAATAACTTTTGTTAGATTTATTTTCAAAAAAAAATAAGCTACTAAATTGTATTTGTGGCTTATATTTTTTGTAACATTTAAAATTTTAAAAGTTATAAAGTTTTAAGATTAGGTAAGATTTATGTAGTGTTAACGTATAATTCTTGCAAACTACGACTGTTAGACGGGACGTTTGAGCGGTTTATTCTTTTTAATTGAGCAGTAATCTTTCAACAGTTTATAAGCTTTAACTTAGACGATTTATCAAAGTATTTATATTATCACAACGAGTTACAATTCAACAGATTGCCAATAAATTGTATTTATAAATAATGTGTTTATTCACAAGTAAAATAATAATAAAGAAAAGAAAAGAAGAGTAATACTAAAACTAAAATATAATGCAGTAGGCCTAGTTGTCTCTAACTGTAGCGTAACGTGATAGGCCTGGTTGCCTCTAAATTGTAATATAATATGATAGGCCTGGTTGCCTTTAAACTGTAACGTAATGTGATAGGCCTTCAGGATTGGTTACCTACATCGGCTAACAATACCACACTCACTGCTAAAACTACTCGAGCTATCT